GGTTATAAATTATCCTTCATATTTAATTAAGCCCATATTTTCCATGTGTGAAGAGGGAAATCTAAAATTTGAATAAGCCCATATTCAAAAAATTAAATCTAAAACTTAAAGAACTTTATATCTAATTAGATGACTCTTTTTTTGGATACAACGGAAGAAGGCCATGGCCTTAGAAAGGAATTAAGTTAGAAACGACGGGGTAAGAAATTCCCACAAGGTCATGCTGCAGTGCATGCTCCCAAGCCTGAGAAGATAGACGAAATTCGATGTAGCCCGACCGAGGCAGATGCTGCTACACTTGCCAGATGATTTGCCGCAAAATTAGCTTTCCTATGAACGTGTTGGAGTTTAACACTCCATTTTCAATCGAAAAGGCTACGAATAGCCTTAACTAGTGTTGCATGAGTTCCTGACCTATCCAACGTGCCACTAACCAACTGCATTACACACTGATTGTCTACCTCTGCAATGACTAGTCGGAATCCCAAATCCCACTCCAAGAGCAACCCTAATTAGATGACTCTAAAGTGAAAGGTTAATTTAACTAAATGACTGAACAATATTATTATTATTATTATTATTATCATCATCATTTATTGGTTGAAATCATATGTAAGAAAATATTGGGGCAAAAGTCAAGAGTCCAGTTGTAACTTAAAATGTGCTGAAATCATGTAAAAAATTCTGAATGTCCAAAAAAAAAAAAATATGTGATTATAGTTAGGGAATAACAGTGTATTGATGACTAATATTAAAAATATGTAATTATTGTGTACAATAGAAAAAAAAATAAAAAAAAGAGAGAAAAATGAAAAGAGTTCTATTAAAATTTTGCCTACAATTTTATATATGCCATTATTCAATAGTCAAGAGTTTCCATTGATATCTTTCTTTTACTCTAAAAAGTGTAATTTTGGTCCAATTAATTTTTGTGATTCGGGTTTATCCAAATTTGGACCAATCACCGACAAACTCCGCGCCACTAAAAGAGAAGATTATCCACATCATAATTACTAATCTATTGACCATTTATAATTTGTGTTATCTTTGTTTTTTTGTTTCATTATTTTACTATTATTTAATTTTTAAATTTTTGTTCCCGATAGTCTAACCGTTAAACAAGTCAATCGCTCAATTGTCATATTTTTAGAATAAATATCAAACTTATGTTTATGTAATTTTCCAAAATATAAAATTTTCAATTTTCAATCAAAATATGTGAAAAGTGCGTATGGGCCTAATTACCAACAGGGGTTGGCTCAAGTGGTAAGCAGCTTGATGTCGCTTAAGCAAGGTCTCGGGTTCGAGTCCTTGTGGATGCAGAAAACCCTTGTTGGGAGACTCACCCACCACTGCCAGGTGTGCGACCCGGGTCGACCAACGGATTAGTTGGGGCATAACTCCGAATACCGTGATTGGCTACCAAAAAAAAAAAAGGACTGTATTTAATTTTAAGAAAGAAGCAAAGTGCGGGTAGATCACGTATAACAGTATCAAATAGTCACCTAATTAACGTTGTTCATTAATTAGTGGCTAAACATTGACGTGGCGGGCTCTAATTGGCTGTTCACCGCCTTAATTTCTGATTTGGGCTACGTTTAACTTATGTGTCAAATGAACAAATTAATTATAAATATACTAACAGGAGTTGGTTGAAGTGGTAAGCAACTTGATGCCGCTTAAACAAGTCTCTGATTCGAGTCCTTGTGCATGCAAAAAACCTTTGTTTGGAAAGTCACCTACCACTGCCAGGTGTGCGACCTGGGTCGACCAACGGATTAGTCGGGACATAGTTTCAGATATCGTGGCTGGCTACAAAAAAAAAAATATAATAATTATAAATATATTAATTAATTACGTATTTATGATGCATTGTCCAAAAACTATAGTAGTACTCTGCCAAACAAGCAAGAAGAGGAAACCAAATGAAAGTTAAAGTTCGAATGCAACTTTTATGGTATCTAAAGCAAATGATACGTAGAGTTCCATGCGCGCACGGTTTGATTTTGGAAAATTCTGAATAAAATTCAAATTGAGCAGCCAAACTTCCTAATTTTTGTCTTGAACACTATTTTTTATTTATTAAATTTTTTATTTATTTTTTTTAGTATGCTTCATATTGCCACGTCAACATTTTGCTCGGTGGAATTTGAACGTCGGCGTGCAAGGTGGGAATCTAAATTGAGGCATGACCTACTAACCTTGTACATTATATTGCTACTCAATTACATGACCTCAGTCAAAAACTAACGAGTGCACAGTCCAACAATATACACGACCGAACATATCAATTTATCACTCAAAATACATGCAAATATGACGAATGTCAATCGTGCTACCAAAAATTTGATATAAGTGTTCGATAAATTTAGCTGATAAGTCAACTGATATAAAATTTCAACGGGCTTTATTGAAAAACTACCTCAGAAAAACTTATATGAGATATATTTGAATCCTTTTAAAAAAAAATCCTACCAAAGTACCAAACAAAGTACAAGAACTCACATAATTAAATAAGTTATAATTTAATTTATAGTGCTCAGTTAACACACTCTTAAACATTAGTGTCAGGCATGCTTAAAGATTAGATTGTCGTATTCTTAATCTTAACATATATTTGTAAAAAATTAATATGAATAAAACTATAATATTTTACAACATATAGACATACACACGTATTTAAACAATATGATGATTCATACTAGAATTTGTCAAATTATGAATATAATAATAATCAAATGGCTGTTACTAAGGTTAGTGGGTAGGCTGGTGATAGTCAACTAAAGGTCAAAATTAAGAATGCTTAATTGCGTCTGCTAACACTAAATGTATCCGCCAATTTTGACGGATTATATAATCTACTAGAGTCCAAACTCACGATTGTGATTATTACGACGAACCAGAGGCAAAACTACATGGAAGTCGGAGAGGCGTCGGCCATTTCAAAAAAAAAAGATTTTTGAACTAAAGGTGGGAGGTTTTGTTGGAACTGGAAGGACGCCTTTTGAGCGCCCTTCCGATGCCGGAGTGGGGATAGTGCGCCGTGGGATGGCTGGAGGGGCGCCACCGGAAATCCGGAATCCGAAAATACAGAGCAACTGAGCAGGGAGGCATGAAGCCATGGAGAGAGAAGCTGGATCAAAAAAAAATTGTGTTTGTGTTTGGTTTTGTCCTGATTTTTTTAAAGCAAATTGGACCCTCCTCGAAACGGAATCCTGATTTTGCCACTGCGACGAACTAATGGTGATGGCCACCGGCCACGCGCCGCCCTAAAAAGGGATCTCCTACGGCCGCCGCCTCCTTCTACTGTGAAAATGCCCAAGTTGAAAAGTACCCCTTCGTCCATTTTCAGCCTCTACTTTTTATTGTGGAAAAAAAAAAAAAAAAAA